TTACATAAATAAAATAGAAAAAGAGGAGATCAATGAATTGGGCATACAACCAAAAAAACTAGAAAAAGAACAAATTAAAAATCCCCAATTAAGCACCAAATTAGAAATACTGAAAACCAAAGGAAAAATTAATAAAAATTGAAATTAAGAAAACTATTGAACTAATAAATAAAATTAAGAGCTGGTTTTATGAAAAAAACAATAAAATAGATAAACCTTTGGTTAATTTAATTTAAAAAAAAGAAAGAAGAAAACCAAATTACTAGTATCAAGAATGAAAAAGGTATATCTACCACCAAGGAAGAGGAAACTAAAACAATAATTAGGAACTATTTTCCCCAACTGTATGCCAGCAAATTTGACAATCTTAGTGAAATGGATACATATTTACAAAAATATAAATTGCCCAGATTAACAGAAGAGGAAGTAAAATACTTAAATAACCCCATCTCAGAAAAAGAAATTGAACAAGCCATTGATGAACTCCCTAGGAAAAAATCTCCAGGGCCAGATGGATTTACATGTGAATTCTATCGAACATTTAAAGAACAATTAATTCCAATACTATATAGACTATTTGGGAAAATAGATGAAGAAGGAGTCTTACCAAATTCTTTTTATGATACAAATATGGTGCTGATACCTAAACCAGGAAAAGTCAAAACAAATAAAGAAAATTATAGACTAATTTCTCTAATGAATATAGATGCAAAAATTTTAAACAAAATATTAGCAAACATATTACAGCAACTTATCATAAGAATAATACACTATGACCAGGTAGGATTTATACCAGGAGTGCAGGGTTGGTTCAATGTTAGGAACACTACCATTATAATTGATCATATCAACACCAAAACTAAAGAAACCACATGATCATCTCAATAGAAGCAGGAAAAGCTTGTAACAAAATACAACACCCATTCCCACTAAAAACATTAGAGAGCATAGGTATAAATGGAGTCTTCCTTAAAATAATAAATAGCATCTACCTAAAACCTTCAGCAAGCATTATATGTAATGGGGACAAGCTAGAAGCATTTCCAGTGAGATCGAGGGTGAAACAAGGCTGTCCATTATCACCACTGTTGTTCAATATTGTACTGGAAACGTTAGCTTTAGTAGTAAGAGAAGAAAAAGAAATTGAAAGTATTGGAATAGGCAAAGAAGAAACAAAACTATCACTCTTTGCAGATGATATGATGATATCTTAGAGAATCCTAGAGAATCAAGTGAAAAACTACTTGAAATAATAAACAACTTTAGCAAAGTTTCAGGCTATAAAATAAACTCACATAAATCATCAGCATTTCTATGTATTACCAACAAAGCCCAACAGCAAGAGATAGAGAAATTCCATTTAAACTTACAAAACACTTTTCACACAAATAAAGTCAGATCTAAATAATTAGAAAAACATCAGTTGCTCAAGGGTAGGCCGAGCTAATATAATAAATCATCAAAACTGCTTGGTACTGGCTAAGAAATAGAGTGGTAGATTAATGGAATAGGTTAAATATGCAAGACACAGTAGTCAATGATTATAGTAATCTATTATTTGATAAACCCAAAGACCCCAGCTTCTGGGATAAGAACCCACTCTTTGAAAAAAAAAACTGCTGGTAAAACTGGAAAAGAATATGACAGAAGCTAGGCATTGATCAAAATCTCACACCATATACCAAAATAAAGTCAAAATGGGTTCCTGATTTAGATATAAGGGCTGATAATATAAGCAAACTGGGAGAGCAAGGAATAGTTTACTTATCAGATCTATGGAGATCAGAAGAATTCATGACCAAACAGGAGAGAGAGAACATTACAAAAAGCAAAATGGATAACTTTGATTACATTAAATTGAAAAGGTTTTGCACAAACAAAGCCAATGCAACCAAGATTAGAAGGAAGGTAGAAAATTGGGAAAGAATTTTTACAACCAGTCTCTCTGATAAGGGCCTCATTTCTAAAATATATAGAGAATTAAGTCAAATTTATAAGAATACAAGTCATTCCCCAATTGACAAATGGTTAAAGGATATGAACAGGCAGTTCTCAGATGAAGAAATTAAAGCCATCTATAGTCATATGAAAAAATGCTCTAAATCAATATTGACTAGAGAAATACAAATCAAAACAACTCTGAGGTACCACATCACATCTATCAGATTGGCCAACATGACAAAACAAGAAAATGATAAATGTTGGAGAAGATGTGGGAAAATTAAAACACTTATGCATTGTTAGTGAAGTTGTGAAATGATTCAACCATTTTGGAGAGCAATTTGAAACTATGCCCAAAAATGTGCATACCCTTTGACCCAGCAATAACACTTCTAAGGCTATATCCCAAAGAGATCACACAAATGGGAAAATGACCCACATGTTCAAAAATATTCATAGCAGCTCTTTTTGTGGTGGCAAAGAATTGGAAATTGAGAGGATGCCCATCAATTGGGGAATGGCTGAGCAAGTTGTGGTATATGAATGTAATGGAATACTATTGTGCTATAAGAAATGATGAACAGGCTGACTTCAGAAAAACCTGGAAACACTTGTATGGTCTGATGCTGAGTGAAGTGAGCAGAACCAAGAGAACATTGTACACAATAACAGCCACGTTGTATGATGACTAATCTTGATAAACTTAACCCTTCCCAGCAATACAGTGATCTAAGACATCTCCAAAGGCCTCATGATGGAAAATGCTATCCACATCCAAAGAAAGAACTATGGAGTCTGAATGCAGATCAAAGCGTATTATATTACAACATCACTAATGTCAAAATACGTTATTAGGAATGTATATTGTGTAGCCTATATCAGATTGTGCACCATTTTGGGGAAGTTGGTGGGGAGGAAGGGGGAGAAAAATTTTAAACTCAAAAGCCTATGGAAGTGACTGTTGATAAATCAAAATAAGTTAATTTAAAAAAAAAACATAACGTCCAGAACTGAGCACAATACTCCAGATGAGATCTGATGAAGGGAGAGTACAATTTCAACCTTCATGTTGTCATTGTTGTTGTTATTGTTGTTGCTGAGTCATGTCTGACTCTTTGTGACCCCCTTTGAGGTTTTCTTGGCAGAGATACTGGAATGGTTTGCCCTTTCCTTCTCTAGCTCATTTTATAGATGAGGAAACTGAGGCAAACAGAGGTAAATGACTTGCCCAGGGTCACATAGGCAGTAAGTGTTGGAGGCTGCATTTGAACTCAGGTCTTCTTGATTCTCCATTGTTCTACCTAGCTGCCTACTTTATCACTCTTATTTCCCCACATTTTTCTGCTGTCCACCAGGGGTCGTAGATCCAGAACTGGAGTGGATTTTAAATATTATCTAGTCCTGCCTCCTCATTTTACAGATGAGGAAACGGAGACCTAGAGAGGTTAAATGACTTCCCCAAAGTAACACAGGTAGAATGTGGCAGAGCTGGTGTTAGGACTCCAGATTCAGCATTCTCTCTGCTGTACCTTACCCTTCCTTTTCTCCTATTCCTCTGCCAGGAGCCAGGTAGCTTAGTGGCAAACGTCCTAAATTTGAAATCAAAAGACCTGGATTTGAATGCAGGCTCAATCACTTCCTGTTTTTGGTACTCTGGACAAGCCATTTAAACCCACTTGACTTCAGCTTTTCTAACTAAAACATTAAAGCTTTTGCTCAGAAACCATTCTCTTCTTAGTCTCAGACTTCTCTAAGAGGATGTTTGGGAGCAGGGCAGGCTGGGGATTCCTTCAAGTCCCATTTATATAATGGTCGCTGTTCAGTGACTGAGGTTAGGCTAAGCTCAAGAAATTCTACTCCTAGTTGCCATGTTGACCACCAGCCAAGGAGGAACTGTCTTAGTCAGCATAAAACAATAGTAATATAGGAAAATGAATGAGGAAAGTAGATGGGAAGGTCCTCTAATCATTGCACTCCTGGCCAATTAATATGTTCCTGCAAGAAGGGGTAGGAGGGAGTATATAATCAAATCTATAAATCAATCTATTATTTCTTGTTGCTACGCGGACTATTTCTTTGTAATTCTGTACCCTAAAGCACTAAGGTGAAAGGAATGCATTTTAAAATTGAAGATAAAAATGTAATCCACAGTGATTTCCTATTTATTAAGTGGTTCTTTTAGCTCCTGGATAGATAGGGGCTATACTTGTGATTTCACCAGTAGAGAGAACTCCCAGGTGAGAAAATTTCCCCTACCAATGCAGGTCAGAACCATTTCTGCAAAACTTACAGTCTTAGAGTATTGCCTAGAAGATAGAGAAGTTAAATAAGTCATCCAGAGCCACACATTCAGTGTGCAAAGGGACTGGACTTGAACCCAAGTCTTCTTGGCTTTGAGGCTAGGTCTCAATTTACTGCCTCTCCTAAAGAAAAAAAAAGTATGAAAAATCAAACAGGTTCACAGTTGCTATGCATGGTTTTCCTAGCTTATTCTTATTTCTTTATTATATTTTTATTCTTATTTTATTTATATTATTAAATTGTATATATTATAAAATGTTATGTTAAAATATATCATATTTATGTGTTATGTGTATTATTTACATTTATTTTTTTCTTTTTATTCTTATTTTCTTTATTATCTTCCTGGCTTAATTTTCAAGAAACTCCCTTCACTGGAAAACTTTGTGTGTTACTCCTATAGGAGAGAAATTCTGGACAACACCCAAAAATATACACAAGAACACTCTCCCAGAAAGAGTATGACTTTTTTTTTAAGTAAATTTTCCTTGTAACTTTTGTTTTTAGGTCACAATCCCTTCTGTATTCCTTTTCCCCCTCCCCAAAGTTGAACAATGAAGTTAAAAATCACCTGTAGTATTAAAGAGCATGCAGATGCCCGTCTTGCTCTGTAGACCTTTGAGAGGAAGGAGGTAAGACCAGGAGTTTGATCACCCTGTCACAGAACCTTATACTTTCACACTTACTAATTAGAAATAAACCTCAGCTACAAACCACATAGCTTCCTGTCTAGTGCTCATTTCCTGGAGTATTGCCAAACAAGAAACAGCCTCTTATATGTTATATACTTAGTCTATTTTTTTTCTCGTACGGAACAAACTATTTCAGTTTATTTACTCTGGTGGAAATAACCAATTCACTCCTATGACCATAATGGAATTACTGATGTAGGCTGCTTCAGAGACTATGGAGAAGAAATGGACATATGGAGTTATCTATTCATTCATCCAGATCCATCTTGTCTGGGGTAAGCCTCCTAGCTGTACTTTGTTATCAGAAAGCTATTTTTTTTTTTTAGGGCAAATGGGGCCTTTGTTTATTTTTTAAAATAACCTGTAAATGTCTATTGAAATGGGTCACTAAAAAGAAAATCATTAACAACATCTTTAAGAGTATATATTTAGTTGTACAATGGATAGATTACCGGGCCTGGAGTCAGGAAGACTCATTTTCCTGAGTACAAATCTGATCTCAAACACTTACTAGTTATGTAACTTTGGGCAAGTCATTTAACTTTGTTTGCCTCAGTTTCCTCATCTGTAAAATGAGCTGGAGAAAAAAATGGCAAACCATTCCTGTATCTTTGCCAAGAAAACCCCAAATGGGGCCACAAAGAGTCAGACACAACTGAACATCATCTTCCCTCTCAACTTATAGATGTCACATCTCAATATGGAAAAAGAGGAGTAGAAAGTGATATTGCTTCTCTGCTATAAGATATTTTCACCTACTCTTTGCTAAGAACTCCTAGAGTAATTTAAGAAATTATGTCTTCTATTGGCTGAAATGCTTTCTGAACAATAGTCGGGATAACTCTAAAACACTGGGGAAAAAATCATATTGCTGGAGATGCAGAGAGACTCCTTAACACCATTTCCTCTCCTAAGTATCTTTTTAATATAAAAAAGGCACTTTTCCTCCAAATACAAAGGTCCTTGGGAGTTGAGCATATCTTGGATTTTAATGAGGTATGTGCTATAGTGGACCTGGGAGACAAAATAGAGCATCCTTATGTCAGTAGGAACTTGAAACTCAAGAGCCTCATTTAAAAATAGAAAGGAGAAAGATGAGTTTTTGCATTCCATAATATGTGTATATTAGAGTGTGTCCCAATGTCTCTGGAATTAACTGACTTACTCAGACAGACCATAATGATTAAGAAGCATTTAAGGAGAATTTCTATATCAAAGAGGACATTGCATAATAATGACTATAGAATAAAATTTAAAAAAAAACACAAACATGTCGTGAGGCACCACATACCTCTCAGGCCTCAATTTTTTCACCTATAAAAGTATGACAATTCCTTTTTGCTGAAAACCCTTACTTGGTCTCTGTTGCTTCCTATCTTTAAAAAAAATAGTCTTCTGTTGTGTATTTGGGTCATATTTACCGTAATATTTTAGTGCTCAGTGTTGAATGCTAAACTAATGCAAATAGTATTATTTAGAACCCTGTGAAAAGTATCACTATTTAAATTCACCATTTGAAACTGCCCATTTAAAAATTCCTCCCCTGCCCCCATCCTTGGCAAAAATCTTTTTTTGATGTCTCATTATGGTATAAACATAGCCCTGGGTTCTCCAAGATTGTGTATGTCTGCCGAAAACAAGGTTGGTAACTCCTATCAAGCTGGAACAACTTTAAATAAGGAAGGAGCAGCCCCATTTTGTAAGAGAGCTTAAGAAATGGATTCTTTTACATCTAAGACTTCAGACTGCTGAGCCGGAGTAGATAGTACTGGTCAATTGGATTTTTTAATTTTTTTTTTATTGTGGATTTAACAATCTGACTCATACTAATTGGGTTAATTTTCAAGACTAGCCTTTCAGCTAAATCTTCCCCTTCTTCCTCCTTAGTACCTTGAACAGAGAGGATAGAATATGGAAGACTCTGTAATGATTGTTTTGATAAAGATGTTGTTATCCCAACCAGAACAGGGTTCTTAACCTCTTCATGTGTGTGTGTGTGTGTATGTGTGTGTTTGTGTCCTAGACGTTTTTGACAATCTGATGAAGCCTATGGATCCCTTCTAGAAATGATGTTTTTAAATATAGAAAATAATAAGATTATAAAGGAAAACAATTATATTGAAACATATTTATCAAAATACATTATTTAAAAGTTCAAAGGTCTCAGGTTAAGGACCCCTTCTCTGGAAATTGTATTAGCTATCCCAATCTTCCAAATGTTAGTTTCATCTGAAATTTACTATGTTGTATGATATTATATACATATATATGTACATATTTAATTTATATATAGTAAATATGTTGCAAAATATGTTGTATCATATGTAGGTCTAAAATTTAAACCAATCCAATACAGTCCAAAAATCATTTAATGATAACATGTTTTGTACTAAGCACTATGCAAGATGCATGGGATATGAAGACAAGATAAAAAATGGTCCTCACCCTCAAGGTGATGACATTCTCCTGGAGGGGTGGGTTAAAAATAATATGCTAAACATCTAAGTCTATACATGATGATTTAGGATGAAGAGCAAAAAAAAAAATAGACTCAGGAAAGGTTTTGTGTAGAAAATGACACTCAAGCTGAACCTCGAAGGAAGCTAAGGATTCTAAGAATTGGAGGAAAAGATGTAATGCATTCGAGGAAAGGGAAGAAAGCCTTTGTTGTAGTTTGTCCTTTCTTCTCGAATCATGGCATCAGGAAGATGATGCCATGACTAGCAAGTGAACTGGATTTAAGTGAGGGAGGGTTGTACAAAGTCACCAACCTCCTCCGGAGCCATCTGGGTCCAGTGGCCAGATATGGATCAGGACATTTGGAGATGGCCCCAGATATAGTGGGAGACCATGGCCTGACAAAGTCACAGAGGTAAAAGATGGAACGTTAGGTTCAAGCAAGTGCCAGTTCAGCTGAAACTTAGAGTACATTAAGGGGAGTGTTGTGCAATAAGCCTTTAAACATAAGCCAGAGTCAAACTATTTAGTGACTTAGATGTCACATTGAGAAGCTTACATTTTCCTAGAGACAATAGAGAGCCATTGAAGTTTCTTTGCAGAGGGCTGGCATGAGCAAACTTCTGTTTTAGAATGTTTTAAAATTTCAATTTTTTTTCAATGAACAAACATGTTTTCTCTTCCTCCTATATTGCCTCCCTCCCCAAATGAAAAAGAAAAATAATACCCTTATAACAAGGGTGATGTGAAACAAATTATTCCCTTGTCCATGTTCAAATGGTATATCTCAATCTGCTCCCCAAGTCCATCACCTTTCTGACAGAAGGTGTGTGGCATGTTCCCTCATCTGTCCTCTGAAATCATAGTTAGTCATTAAAGAGATTATTTTGACAGCTTGTGTGGAGAGCAGATTGGATCAGGGAGAAGCTAAGTGCCAGGAGTCCAATTACATATCTGTTGTAACGGATTAGGAATCAGGTGATGTGGGCCTGAACTAGGGCTGTAGACATATGTGGAGAAAAGAGGATAGATGTTCCAGATGCTGTGAAGGTAGATTTGACAATACCAAACACATTAATTGATCTAGGAAGAGAAAGTGAGAAGACACCAAGGTTCCAAATATTAGTGCCTGAAAGGATGGTGTTACTCTTAATAGAGATAGGAAACACATTATCAAACCAAGGAAATCATCTTGAATTTTAAAATTCTCTTATCAAGAACTGTGTCATTGTTCTTATTTTCGAACAGGCTGAATTAGATTCAAAGGCAAATAATTTTTACCAACTCATTCCTAGCTAGGTGGATGAGTTGGCTCAGCCTATCCTGATACTAAGTCCTCTGGGCCACCCAGATTCCTCTCTACCACCATAAAAATGAAATGAAATAAAAATGATGAGTTCTCCCAGTTTGATCAGCAATTCCAGAAACTGGTCCTGGTGGCCAAGGGAAAGTGAACCAGATAAACTGACGCTTGGTATTCTTTTCTTTTAGGCCTCTTAGAAGGAACATTTGATGAAAGAAATGTCATCTATGCTTCTCTTGGCACAGATGTGAACTTGACATGTCAGACTCAGAAGAGAAGCTCCTTGGTGCAGATACAATGGTCCAAGATCACCAATAGCACAGAAATGATAGCTCTCTACCACCCTCAGTATGGCTATTACTGTGCCGCTAGGACCTCCTGTGAGTCCTTAGTATCATTCACTGAATTGTCACGGAATGTTTCAGAATGGGTTTTGCACTTGAGAAACGTGTCTACTGCAGTGAGTGGGAAATATGAATGTAGCTTTACTTTGTATCCAGAGGGTACTGGGAGAATGGTCAAGAACGTCCTTGTACAGAGCGAAGGTAAGCAATAGAAATTGAGCATAATAAGTATGGGAGAGGTGGTTGTGCTTTCTTGTATTATTTCAAATTAAGGAAGGAGCATGGTGTAGTGGGTAGAGACCTGGCCTTGTAGCTAGAAAGACCTAGGTTCAAATTCTGCCTCTAATACTCACTATATGTGTGACTCTGTGCAAATATGTGACTTAGATGCTCGGTGCTCTTGGCCAGTGGTGTCAAACTCAAATTGAAGCATATCTCTGCTGACAGCATATTGACTTAGAAAATCTCATATCAACATTTTCTATATTGTCTCTTAATTTATTTTTAAAAAAATGTTTCCCAATTACATTTTGATCTAGTTTCAGAGCATCAAAGAGCCCACAGCCAGAGTTTGATTCCTCTGCTCTAGGCAACTCTCTAGGATGATAAGGTGTAGAGAAAGTTCTGAACTGCATGAGTACATAGTGTTATTCATCCAGGAATTCCCTTTACTAATGAAATCACAGGTCCAGGTTTGATCCTTATCCTTAAGATATAGTGGAGGGGGAGGGGAACCTTATCCCTTTAATCAAAAGACCTGGGTTCAAATTCTGCCTCTGATGATTACCAAGTGTGTGATTTGGGGCAGGTCACTTATCCTCCCAGGCTTCAGTGTCCTTGTCTATAAAATGAGGGTGCTGGACTAGATGGCCTCTGGGATCCCATAAAATCTGAATCTATTATCCTATGAAATTCACAGTCATCAGCTTCAGCCTTATATTTGCTCCAAGAATGGTTTTGAGGTCTGATGTAGCCCTTCCCATTTACATTCATGTTAGGGGAGGGTGCCATGTGAATGATACTGCTGATTCAAGACTGTTGTTGTTTAGTCTATTAGTCATGTTTAACTCTCTGTGACCCAATTTGGGGTTTTCTTGGCAGAGATACTGGAATGCGTTGCCATTTCCTTCTCCAGCTCATTTTATAGATGAGGAAACTGAAGCAAACAGGGTTAAGTGACTTGCCCAAGATCAGTAAGCATCTGAGGCCAGATTTGAACTCAGGAAAGCAAATCTTCCTGACTTCAAGCCTGGTATTCTATTTACTGTGCTACCCAATTGTCCTATGAGCTGGAGAAGAAAATGGCAAACCATTCCACTCTCTTTGCCAAGAAAACTCTAAATGGGCTAATGGAGAGTTGGAGGTAACTGACTGACTAAACAACAATTCAAGACTAAGGGATTCTGAATGGATATGAGGCAGGAATGCAGAGTCAGATAGACTTACTCTTTGGCTGGGGGGGAGGAGGGAGGGGGAGAGAAGGGGGCAGGATGGATGGAAAGGAGAATGCCACAACATGAAGGACAAAAAGCTGGGAAATACCCAGAGGAAATATAGGAAGCCCATTTTCAGTCAAAGTAATTAGACTTCCATAGAAACACTAAAAGGGCTTTCCACAGAAAGCTTCTCAATCTAAAGGCTAGGAAGGAGGTTCAAATCCTACTTCTGACACTTACTACCTTTGTGACTTTAGGCAAATCACTTATTCTCTGGGCCTCAGTTTCCTTATCTGTAAAATGAGGGAATTGGACTAGATGACTCCTGAGGGCCCTTGCATATCCAAATTTAGGATCCTATGGTGATAAGAAAAATAATAAGCCTTCCATTTAATTCAAGTTACTCGCCTTCTTATCCCCATCACTTGCAAAGGTCAGACAGACTGAAAGCTACCTTTGTTGAGTCATCAGTATAAAGCAAGTCAATTGTTTTAGGGTGGAAACAAAAAGGGAGTCCCCTCTCTTAAGAATTAAAAATGAAAATGTTACTTCCCATGGGGGGGGGGAGGGAGAGAAAAAAGAGAAAGAGAAGAAGAAGAAGAAGAAGAAGAAGAAGAAGGAGAAGGAGAAGAAGAAGAAGAAGAAGAAGGAGAAGAAGAAGGAGAAGGAGAAGCAGGATAAGGAGAAAGAGGAGGAGAAGGAGAAGAAGAGAAAGAGAGAAGAGAGAAAAAGAGAGAAAGAGCAAGAGTGAGGGAAGAGAGAAGAGAGAGAAAAAAGAATGAGAGAAGAGAGAGAGGGAAAGAGAAGAGAGAGAGAGCAGAAATTTGAAGTATAGTACAATAGAAATACAATAGAGAGAGCTTTGGATTTGGAATCAAAGGACCTGGGTTAGAATCCCAGTCTGGATTACCTTGCCTACCTGTGTGACCTCGGACAAGTCACAACTCCTTTAGGTCTTAGTTTCTTATCTGTAAAATGAGGAAGTTATATTAAGGTCCATTCCATCTCAATATTTATCATCTATTAACTCTTCAGAGAGGACTCATTCTAAAAGCAGAAAGTATTTGCCAGAACTAAGCACCAAAACAAAATATCTAACAGACAACTAAAGCAACCCTTAGCTGGTCACATACAATTAGTAATAATAATAGCTATCGTTTGTATAGTGCTTACAATGTGCCAGACACTGTGCTAAGTTCTTTATGATTATTATCATTTGTTGTTTACAACCCTCCTGGGTAGGTACTATTATTATCCCCATTTTACAGATGAGGAAACAGGCAAACAAAGGTTAAGTGACTTACCCAGAGTCACACAGGTAGTAGGCATCTCAGTCAAGATCTGAACTCAGGTCTTCCTGAATACTGACTCCAGGACTGGTGCTCTATTCACTGTGCCACTTAGATGAAAAGTCAGAAAGATGGTAAGTCAGGGAGGATGGATGAAGGATAAGCAGGTCATATCATCACTTTATCAGGCTTGTGGACTACAATATTAGGAACTAATATCTATGTAATGCTTTAAGCTTTGCAAAGCACTTTATATATATTATCTCAATCAGTTCTCATAGGTACCTACCCAATCAAGTAGGTATGAGAAATTATTCTTATTTTACAGTTAAGGAAAGTTGTGGGGTTAAATACCTTGCCCATAGTCAAATAACCTGTAAGTGTCTAAGGCAGGATTCAAACTCATGACTTGGTGACACCAAGCCCACTGTTCCATATAGCTAGGTGGTGCAGTAGATAGAGCACTGGACCTAGAAAATCAGGAAGACTTGAGTACAAACACAGCCTCAGTCATTTACTAGCTGTGTGACTCTAGGAAAGTCATTTACTAGCTGTGTGACTCTAGATAAGTCACTTAACCTCTACTGCCTCAGTTTCTTCAACTGTGAAATGTAAATAATAGAAGCATCTACTTCCCAAAGTTGTTGGGAGGATCAAAGGAGAAAATATCTGTAAAACATTTAGCACTGTGCCCAACACAAAGTAGGCACATAGTAAATACTTGTTTCTTTTCTTCTTATTCACTGCATTACCTAACTGCCTCTTAACAACTGAATCCAAGATTAGGAATCAAGGTATTAAGGGACCTGATTGCTTTGTTTGCCTGACCTTGCTCAAAGAAAGGTCTTTCATTGATTTGGCAGGTAATCAAAGAAAGGGAAGAATGCCTTAAGAATAGATCATCTGTAACTTTAATCAAGGAAGTCTAGCTGAACATTAAAGTTCTAGAACCAACTTTTCTCTGATTCTCCTTGCCACCTATTGGTAATTTAACAAGTCATTTGGTCGGTCATTCTCTTAACTTTCCTATCACTCTGTCCATGAGGTCATTCACAGCATTTTCAGTTGTTAATGTGAATCAGTCTCTGCAAGTAAGAAGCCTTGAGACCCTCCCTTAGAAGGTACTAGAATCCCTAGTAGGATTGACAAACAAAAGAAGGGTTCCAGTGCCATCTAAAAATATTGATTCACCACAGCAGAGAAAGTGATGGAGAGACAGAGACAGAAAGTCAGAGACAGAGAGACAAAGATAGAGAGAAAGAGACAGAGAAAGACTGAGACAGACAGCTATAAACAGAAAAAGAGAGATATAGAGGCAGAGACAGAGAGATGGGAAGAGCCAGAGAGACCCCACAAACAAAGAGAGATACACAGAAAGAAAGGCAGAGATACAAAGGTAGCATAGCTTAATGCTATACTATAAATTGCTATAGATTTGGAGTCAAGAGAATCTAGGTTTGAAACCTGGCTTTGCTATTTATTACTTCTCCAGTACTGGTTATTCTCTAGATCTCAGTTTTCTCATCTGTAAAACGGAGTTGAATTAGAAGACCCTTAAGATCTTATTCAAATCTAAATACTATCATTTTAAATGGGAAACACCTGGCCAAAAAAAAAATCTGGAAAATATACTAAGATCTACTTTTATAACAAAAGGATAAGAACCTAAAAGACACTGTGATAGTATGTAGCTCCCTTCCTTATTGCCCGCCCATTACAACACAGCTGTTTCTCATTTGGTTCTAAGCCACACGATTGGTCCAGCCTGCTGCCATGGGTCACATTTCCTCAACATTCCGCTTAGGGAATTCTGCTCCCATTGAATTCAGAGAAAGATATTGACATTCCACAGAAGACTGTCTGGTAGGACAGTGAGGAGGGAGTGGATTACAACTCCTGCCATGACCTTTCATTTCTCAATGCCTATTTTTATTCTTAAGACAGTTCATAGGAACATAAAATCTGAGCTTGAAGGGCGCTTAGAGGTCATCCAATCAAATCTGCCTCTCTTTGTAGATGAGGAAGTGAGGCCTATAGAGGTAATATGGCTTACCAAAGCCCCATAGGTAGTAAGTGTCAGAGCTGGGATTCAAACTCTGTTCTTCTTTCTCCAAATCCAGTGTTCTTTCCAGTTATCAAAATAAAAGGGAGTACAGAGAGAGATAGCTCACACCTTGCATAAGAGAATCAAAATGACAAAAGTGATTTGTATGATCAGAAATGAAAGGTCAACTTTAACAAGATGAATTTCAGTAGTGATAAAGGGAAAGCCTTACATTTAAATTTTTAAAAATAATTGTATCTGCACAGTATATGTCTGTCGTACATACGGGAAAAAAAGACCTGGGATTTATGGAACTGCAAACTGTATATGAATTGACTGTGTAACATCGTAGCAAAAAAAAAAATCCCCCAAACCAAAAACTGATGTGATCTTAGGCTTTATTAAAAGTAATACAGCATCCAAGAAAGGATGGGTGATAGTGCCACTGATTCTACCTTTGTCAGACCACATACGAACTATTGTGTTGAGTTCTAGAGGTCACATTTTAAGAAGAACAAACCACAGTCTATACAGTGACCCATGGCCAGGAGAGTGAGAGGATTTGAAACAATGTCCCACAAGGATTGTTTTAAAGAATTGGGGGTGTTTATCCTGGAGAAGAAAGGACTTAGAGCTCGGGGTAATATGATTGTCATGTATAAATATCTGAAGAATTTTCATGAGGAAAAGGGACTGGATATTGTTGCTTAAATCCAGAGAGCAGAACTTGGACCAGTGCAAGGTATCGGGAGTCGGTCTACTTTTGATGTCATTTATGGAAGAATTTTATAAAAAAAATGTAGATTTCTAAAAATAGAATGGTCTTTTCTTGGAAGGGAGTTCTTTATCACTAGAAGTCTTCAAGAAGAGACTGAATGACAATTTGTCATGAATGTTATAGAAGAATGTTGCATGCTTTAAGCAGATGTTGAAGCAGATGACCTTTCAGGTACCTTTTATCTTCATAAATCATAGTTTAGAAATTAGCCATTCTTCTTTCATTTCCTGGTAATGATTTACATAGTTACTCTGAAAGTTGAAAGTGGACACCAATATGTTCTGTCTTGTCTTTACTCCTGCCATTTAAAAATCTGCTGTCCTGACCAAGTCATAATACTATTTTATTCAGCATCAGTAACTTGAAACAATTCACCATACAGAAAGGGGGCTTATGGTGAAAAGAGACAATAGATGAGAGGTGGCATGTTAAAAAGAAAGAAGAGGGGGCAATTAGGTGGCGTAGTGGATAGAACACCAGCCATGGAGTCAGGAGGAACTGAGTTCAAATCTGGCCTCAGACACTTGACACTTACTAGCTATGTGACCCTGGGCAAGTCACTTAACCCTGACTGGAAGGAAGGAAGAAAGGAAAGAAAGAAGAGGAATGTACTTTAAGGAAAGTACATTCTTAACTTCATATATATGTATATGTGTATATATATATATATATATTCACATATACATATATGTGTATGTGTGTGTATGTATGTACATATGTATGTATGCGAACCTAGATCCCTTAAGCTGGTAGTTATCCAAAACCTCCTCAAACCACTAGGGAAATAGAGGTCATGGACATGAAGGCAGAACTAATCCCACACTGTTCTGACTGTAACTTTACAGCAGATCAGTTTCAAAGTCATGGTCTGAACATTTCAGAAATGATTCTGCTGCCTTTTTTAAAGATAGGGCCAGACTGTAGCAGACAAGCAATCACCACAAGCTTGAAAGCTATGATGCAAAGGGAGAAGATGTCGGGCAGTTGATTTGAGCCCTAGAGAGTAACACTATGGTACAGAAAGCGTATTGGATTTGGAACCAAAGGAGTTTAGGTTCACGTATTCTCTTTGCCACTTACTACCTACAACTTCAGAGAGCTAGGTGGTGCACCAAATAAAGTTCCTGACCCGAAGTCAGGAAGACTCATCTTCATGAGTTCAAATCCAGCCTCAGACATTTACTGGCTATGACCCTCAGCGAGTCACTTAACCCTGTTTACCACAGTTTCCTTATCTGTAAAATGAGCTGGAGAAGGAAATGGTGAACTACTCCAATATCTTTGCCAAGAAAAGCCCAAATGGGTCCACAAAGAGTCAGACATGACTGAAAATGACTGAACAACAACAACCTATAAGTTTAGGCTATTCTTCCACTTTTAGTTAAAGAGAATGAACTATATGCCATTAAAGATCACTTCCATATTTAACTCTATGATCCTGTTATATGTCACTAGAGGTCCTTATGTATTAGCTCACTTCCCACCAAAAGGACTTCCCTTTTCTTCCCCACTCCCCATTTTCCCTTTACCTCCCTTTCCTTCCTTTTCTTCCACTTCATCAGGCAAAATAATCTCAAGGACTCAGTTTCCTCAATTGTAAAATGAAGAAAAGAAAAGGCTGATCTAGACAATCTCTGAAGTTGCATTTGGCTCTATATCTATGAGTCAGTGATCCTTTCTTTGACCTCTTTTTCCCCCATTTTTTCTAACCTGAGCCTCGGAGTTTCCAGGCAAGGGATATACCATCCCTATTGATATGTCTTGTGACTCATGAGACTTCTGACACCTGTACTAGACGGTGGCAAAAAACAAAGGAGTCATTCACTCAGTCACCACCTTCCTGGTGAGTCAACAGTAGTTATTGAGCATTGACAGACATACTGCCTTCTGGGAGTTTGCAAGCTAATTGGGCAGATAAAACTCATGTGGAATAAACATTTTGAAAGTACTTACATATAAATGTATATACAAATGCATGTTTAAGTAGTGTGGCAAAAATGACATGCATTGGTGCTTAGGTGTTTGAAGTTTATCAGTATTTCCTGTTTGTTTTCAGAGTCATTTGTATCTCTCTTCCTCTCCTCTGTCCACAAAGCATTAATATGTGCCTAAGAGTATTAGCCCAGGGTTCCCTCAGAACCAGGTAGTCTTTGAGAAGCCAGTCTGTTCTCTTCTCTCTCCCATGAGGCCTTCCAGATAGCATGTTATTTATGTTTATCCTCTGTGCTATGATGCCGTAGGACTAGTGTGAAAATACAGAAGTCTGTATTTAGAAGAATGGGCAGCTAGGTATTTCAGTGAATAGAGTCCTGGGCCTGAAGTCAGAAAGACTCATCTTCCTCAGTTCAAATGTGGCCTCAGACTACTAGCTGTGTGGCCCTGGGTGAGTCACTTAACCCTGTTTGCCTCAGTTTCTTCATCTGTAAAATGAGCCGGAGAAGTTAGTGACAAACTACTTCAGTATCTTTGCAAAGAAAATCCAAATGTAGTCACAAAGATCAGACACAACTGAAATAACTGAATAACAACACTTGGCAGAATGTCAAGGTGCTGAAAACTTGGCATGTGTGCTTTCTCAGGATTCTAAAAGGAAATTGTTCCTTTCTTCCCATCCTACAGCAGAGTAACTTCTAAAATGATCCTAAGGACTGCATTTCAGGTACTTGGTACATAGTTGTGCACCAAAGTTTCTCTGATTTATATCCAGACAAATTAGGCTCTAAGGTTTATGTATGTGCATAGATAGAGATAAAGACAGAGATGGAGATAGAGATAGATATGTACATATATGTTCACATATATATGTACATTTGTAAATTGGAGTATAAGTTTTGTTGTTGTTGTAGTTTCTCCAATTATTACTAAAGCTTCAGAGAAGTTTTCTATTCTTGGTCTCCCTTTTGACTGATCTTTCCTCCTTGATCTGCAAGCTATTAGGAATGTGAGGACCAGTCCCGCTGCTGCTTTTGCCCAGGAAGCGTGCTTTGATGAATCTGTGATCTCATCCACCTGAAATAAAAAAATTACAACTCTAAAAGCAAAGACATCAATTTCCAAAGTTGTAAAGTCCTCATTTGGGAGAGAGAGAGAGTAGAGACAGAGAGAGAGAGAGAGACAAACAGAGACATAGAGGAAGAGTCAGAAACAGAAACTTAGATAGAAAAGGAAGGACAAAGAGAGAGAGGGAGAGAGACAGAGAGACAGAGACAGAGAGAGAGACAGAGGCAGAGAGAGCAGAGAGAGAGAAAGAGAGAGAGAGAGAGAGAGAGAGAGAGAGAGAGAGAGACAGAGACAGAGTCAGAGACTGAGACAGAAAAGAGAGAGACAGCCAGACAGAAAGACAGAGAGACAGAGAGAGACAGAGTCAGAGACTGAGACAGAAAAGAAGGGGGAGAGAGAAAGAAAGAGAGAACAGTTGGGTAAGTAAAGGGAAAGAGGAGGAGAGAGGAAAGGAGGAAAGAAGGGAAGGAATGAGAGCAAGGGCATTTTAAATTTATTGTGTGTTACTTGAATAGGAGGAGATTTCTGTACAGTTCCATAACATGGAAATTTCATGCTTTAAAAATATGTCCTCAATTGTATCAGCTAGGTGGAAAAAACCATTGAAAGCTTATGGGCCAATTCAGCTTTATTTTTACATTATTACTTCTTAATGGTTGCATATTTACATGTAGACACACACATGCATTATTCCTACTTTAAACTAAAGGGACAAAATGCATACTGGGTTGAAAGATAAAATACTTTTTTTTTTTTTTTTGTGAACCAGGCAAATGTGACCTGATAATTAATTCAGGATCAAGACTGAATAGAGAGTGCTGCTGAATTTCCACTTGGGTTCTGTTCTCTTCCACCTATGATTTTCAGTCTTACATTTACAACTCATTTTGCTTCTTGGCAGCTCAGTTTTATATTTGCAAAGTGTGAGGTGATAGTCTGTGTTTCCCCTCTATTTTGTAAGAATGCTGAGAATTAATGTATCACATTTGGTGAAAGTATCCACATTCTTTGGATGAAAGAAATTTTATAACCTTAAAATATCATTGTCAGTATTTTCTTTTTTCTTCTTTCGTTATGCTACAGTTGCACAAGATGAGAGGGGAGGCAACTATACAGTCGAAGTATTATTCAACCACACGCTAGAAATCCCATGTTTTCAAAGTATATCCTCAGTTGTTTCATCTGGGATTACTGTTGCCTGGCTGATGGTAAGCATTACTGTTTTCAATGAAAAAGTGACTTGAAATTTACGTATTGATTGAGTAATATTCAATCAATCAGCAAGTATTTATTATGTGTCTTCTATGTGCCAGGCAATGGGCAAGGGCTGGAGAGTCACTGACAAAAATCAAAGAAATCCTGCCATCTAGAAGCTTACATGCTTTTCAGGGAAACAATGTGTACATATGTAGGAATATGAAAAAAAAAGACATTAAAAATGAATTCAATGTAATTTGGGAGGAGATGGGAAAAGAAGTGGGAGAACTCAAAAAATGACTCATGCTTGAGTTGAAACTAAGAGTAAACTAGGGATTCTCAGAGAATGAGGAAAGGAGAGAATGCATCCTAGATTTGGGAAGACAAGCAATGCAAAGTCATGGAGCTGAGAGACAGGGTATGATGTGGGAGGAACAGCAAAAATGCCCACTTGTAATGGAGAAATATATGTAAATCTAGTCATTGTCCTAATTATTCCAAATCTCGAACTGCTTCACTGTATGTTAATTTGTATTTGCTGCATTATTGCTTTGTAGTGTTCTGTGGGCATAGAGTAGGATGTTTCTCCAAATAAGGTTGTATTTTCATTTTGTTCACAAAACCTCCCTATCCCCGTCACCCCATAGAGTGACCTTTTACTGTACTATATATAGCAGGAGAAGAATAGTGTTTTGAATGAGTAGAAACTCACTGACTAGCTAACACTTTTACCTAATACTTTAGGCCTTCCTCAATATCCTGCTGAAACATCTCCTTAGATAAATGGAGAAGGTAAAGAAAGATCAAATGACTTTCTGAAGGTCACACAGTGAAAGGATGGGGGAAGCAAATTTCAGAGCTCTGTCTTTCCTTGACTCTGCTACCGGAGCAGAGAAGTCTGCCCCTGCACAAATAAATTAAGGGAAAACAAAACAAAACAAAACAAAACAAAACAGGATGATACTGTAGCTTAGAGGAATCTCTTTGAAAGAAACCTCTGTTTTAAAGGATCCTTACATTGACCCATTTGATAATTAAATGCCTTCTGTATTTCCCTGTGTCAAAAATAGTCTGCTTATATTTTTAAGCCCTTGTTTCTAATTGATAGCTGTGGGATTGAGAGAGTCGAATGCAAAACAATTTATTCTTATCCTATCATAGAATAAAATGCAGCTTTTCATTTTATAGTAGTTAATCTCCCTCAAAAGACTTGCAATCTCTAAAATATAATCTTGGGAGGCATTTTATTGCCAATTAAATTAATATTATTATGGGTTCAATATTAGTTACTATTATCCATGAATGTTGAGTAGATATTTTATGAAAGATTTGCGGTGGTGGGGAGATTGAGGGTGCAGGGAAACATGGGCAAAAATTGAATAAAATGAGAAGACAGTCTTCCCTGGTTGAAGAAATATGTACAGCAAAAATGTCATGGATAATGCATATTGCCCCTCTGAGGATGACCCCGCTCTGAGACCTACTCACTGATTGCTCATTCTCCAGTCTGCTCCACCTCCACACTGGCTGCCCTGCCGTCTATGCTCCAGTAACCTCCTTCCCTCCCCATCTTTTTCTTTCCTCTTCCAGCTCCCCTTTAAGTTTTGTATCCTCAGTCCTTAGCACACTGTTTGGTGCATAGGAAATGCTTAATAAATGCTTACTCACTCACTCTATCTATCTATCATCTACATTATTATAAACATAAGAGAAAACTAGCCTTGGTGATTCCAAGGCTAGATACCTGATTGGTAGACCTAGGTGCAAGATATACCTCTGACAAGTACTAGTAGTATGACCAAGAGAAAGTCACTTCTGAACCTCTCAGTGCTTCAGACTAGTCTCTAAAGATTATAAATTACAAAGGAATTGCAGATCTGATTCTGGTGAAAGGATTTTTTTTAATCTAGAGATTTCCTTAAAGATATCATCACTCCAGACTTTACCCTCAGCCCTTACTCATCAATCAATCAACAAGCATTTATTAAGCACCAGGCACAATGCTAGGCACTAGAGATACAAATACAAACATCAGACAGTGTACCTGCCTTGGAGGATTCCATCAGAGGGTGTATGGAGACAACTGCCTTTGTTGCTTACAAGTCATTCTTTTTTTTTTGGTTAGGCAATGGGGTTAAGTGACTTGCCCAGAGTCACACAGCTAGTATGTATTATGTGTCTGAGGCTGGATTTGAACTCAGGTCCTTCTGACTCCAGGGCCAGTGTTCTATCCACTGCGCCACCTAGCTGCCCCTGCTTACAAGTCATTCTTATAAAACAATATTGGCAACTAGTAGCAAATCAATCAAGTATTTATTAAGTACCTACTGTATACTGGTCACCGTGCACCTAGTAAGTGAGTTTTACAGACACCATACATCTCATTTTCTATGATCTTCTTCTCTTTTCTCCATTAGCTAAGACAATTAAGAACTGGCTTATTCTGAAGAGCCAGTTGGATATTGGAAGGGAGTAGCATCCTTAGATGCTGAGGATACAAAGATAAAAGTGATGCATGTCCTATCCTCAAGGAGCTTATATTCTATCAGGGGAAATAATATGTACATACATAGGCATATACAAGTAAATACAAAGTCATTTATGGTAGAGAGGCAACTAGTAATTTTAGGGATCAGGACAAGCCTCATGTAGAACTTAGCAAAGTGTCTGGAAAATATAGGTGCTTAAAAATGTTTATTGAATGATTGACTGATTTAGGAAGTGGTGCTTCAGCTAAGCTTTGAAGGAAGCTAGGAATTCTAAGAGGAAGAATAAGAGTACCTTCCAGGTAGAGGGTGGAGGCCACGTAGGGTAGGGGACAGCTTCTGAAAAGGTATGGAGGTGAGAGACCTAATGTTCTTAATCAACCAATAGTCATTTATTAAACATCTGTTTGTGCTAAGCCATGTATGAGGAATGGTAAGAACACAGGCTGCATCTGAGCGTGCATAAAGGTGAGAAATGGATAAGAAAACAGAAACATTTGGAGCTGCCAGGGGAATTTGAATTGAAGCCTGAGGGAATAGGGAACCACTAGAACTCACCAAGCAGAGTTGTGATTTGATCAGACATATATGTGCTTTAGAAATATCACTTTGAAAAGGAAAAGGACCAATATGTACAAAAATATTTATAGCAGCTCTTTTAGTGGTGTAAAGAACCGGAAACTGAGGGGCAGCTAGGTGGTGCAGTGGATAGAGCACCAGCCCTGGAGTCAGGAGGACCTGAGTTCAAATCTGGCCTCAGACACATAACACTTACTAGCTGAATGACCCTGGGCAAGTCGCTTAACCCCATTGCCTAAGCAAAAAAAAAAAGAAAAGAAAAATTTAAAAAAAAGAATTGGAAACTGAGAGGTTGTCCATCAGTTGTGGAAAGGCTGAACAAGTTGTTGTATATGAATACAATGGAATATTATTGTGCTATAAGAAATGACAATTAGTATGCTCTGAGAAAAACCTAGAAAGACTTGCATGAACTGATGCAAAGTGAAATGAGCAGAACCAGAAGAACATTGTTCACAGCATCTGCAATATTACATCATGATCAACTGTGAATAACTTAGCTATTCTCAGCAATACAATGACCCAAGACAATTCTGAAGAATTCATGATGAAAAATGCTATCCATCTCCACAGAAAGAATTGATGGAGTCTGAATGCAGATGGAAGCATATTTTTTCTTTCTTTACCTTATTTGTCTTGGTTTTTTTTAAAATATGTTTTCTTTCACAACATGACTTACAGGGAAGTAAGTTCCTGTTTTGTCTGACTGTACATGTATATCTACATGCTTGCCTTCTCGATGAGTAGGGGAGGGAAGGGAGGAAGAGAGAGAATTTGGAACTCAAAATTAAAAAAAATGTTTAAATTGTTTTTACATGTAATTGGAGGAAAATAAAATATCACTTTGGCAGCTATATATAGGATGGATTAGAGAGGGGAAAGACTTGACACACATGCTATTAAAATAATAATTATTCTTAATAATAAATTGACTTTTTATTGTTTTGGAGACAATTGGGATTAAGTGAGTTACCCAGGGTCACACAGTAAGTGTCAAGTGTCTGAGGCTGAATTTGAACTCAGATCCTCCCGACTCCAGGGCCAGTGTTGTATCCACTGTGCCACCTCACTGCCCCATAAATTGACTTTTTAACAAACATGATGCAACACAGCTTTCAGATAGATGCTTACTTACTGATTCAAAATGTGGATGTGATAAAAAGTTTGTTGGTTCATAATTTAAGGCCTTCAGAACACCTTACAATAAATGTCAGATGGGGGGCAGCTAGATGGTGCAATGGATAGAGCACCAGCCCTGGAGTCAGGATGGACCTGACTTCAAATCTGGCCTCAGACACTCGGCACTTACTAGCTGTGTGACCTTGGGCAAGTCATTTAACCCCAATTGCCTAACCAACACACACACACACACACAAATAAAACAAAAAAAAAACACACAGAGAAATTAATGTCAGATAGTCAAAAATGCCTTAGTGGTTTGAAAAAGTGAACTCCACTCTTTGTTTGTAATTTAGGTATAATTTCCACTATGAAAACATCCAGACTTGTAGCAAAAAATTCTATCTTCTTTTTTATGTTGTCCTCTGAATATATAACCTATACCTGACCTATACTAACTACAAGTTTGCTCCATTAAATTGTAAATGAGCAAATATAGGAATTAAATAAATAATAGTTTCCATCTTGTCTTTGTTTTGTTTAGCTTGGTTGACTTAATTAGGCCATTTATAAAGAGATCTTTGATTGGGAGATAAGTATGGAGGACTCAGAGGATAATCTTGTTTAGGTGGGCTAGAACTAAAAGGAGATTACTGTCAGTAAATGGGGACAGAAGGTAGTGGTCTCATTTTATATACTAAGATACAGAGAACAATCAAATATGTTCTCCATGCTTACTCAAGGAGTCATTGAGAAAGTGGGAAATAGATAACAAAGATCCCTAATGCTGTCCTCTACTGATTGTCATTTCCCACAGGATAACATCTTTAAATGTTGCTTGTAATTTACCTTCTACAATTGATGAGAGACAAGCACTCATGAAAAGACAGGAAAATGGATTCTATTTTTAGGTTTTCAAATAGCCTTCTAAGTTCTCCTGGATTCTCCCATCAGAGAAATTGAGAGAGTAGAAAATAGAATACGGTTACCTTTAGAGGCTGAACATCCAGTTTGTGGATTTTCTTTTAACACCCCTTACTGTTACCTGCTGGTCCTTTCATTGCTGGTGAACTCTTCCATAAATTGATCAATCAACAAGAAATTATTAAGTACCTACTATGTGCTAGGCACCAGGCTAGGCTCTGGTGATACAAAAACAGTACCTGCCCTTGAAGATTCTGTTACAGGATTAGTGGAGACAACCAGTCTTTACTTTTGTAAAAGAATGTCTGCAGTTAGGAATAAACCAACCAGTCAACAAGTACTTATTAAGCACCTCCTATGTACTGAGTACTGTGAACATAGTAAATGAAATTTAAAAATGCTATACATTTACTTTTATCCACTACCTCTTTTCCCCATTAGCTAAGACAACTAAGAAATAGCTTGTTCTAAAGAGAAAAGTGAGAGTTTGTAGGGAAATGGAAAGGGACATTCTTTTTCAGTCACCAAATAACCTTTAAAGATGGAGAATTTTGTAGGCAATAGTCAAAGTCAAGCATAAGAAGACCAAAGTCTAATGAAAAACATTTGATAGGCCATAGAAAGATGAGTCTTTCTCATCATATAGGAAATTGTTTGAGAGGCAATATGGCATATTGTTTTTGTTTTTGTTAGGCAATGGGGTTAAGTGACATACCCAGGGTCACACAGCTAGTAAGTGTTATGTGTCTGAGGCTGGATTTGAACTCAGATTCTCCTGAATCCAGGGCTGGTACAATATGGCATATTGCAAAGTACACTGGACTTAGAAGCAGAAGAAATAGGGTCACGATCCAGTTTTGAAATTTCCTAACTCTGTTGTAACTATGGTTGTCAATCAATCAATGAGCATTTATTAAGTTCTACTATGTACCAGACACTGTCTTAGGTGCTGGGGATACAAATACATGTCAAAAACTGAAGTCATTATCTTTCCCTCCAAAGCCTCTCCTCTTCCAAACTTCACTATTTCTATCAAAGACACAAGGTGTGCTGGAGCCATCTCTAACCTGGTTTGAAGAACAATTTAAAATTTTTAATTAAATTAAATTAAAATTTTAAGGTGAGCATTTACACCTCAGAAATAGACATTTATTACAAATTAGGGTTGCATTTGTTGTTTTCTTGATTATCTAGACTTTAGAAAATGAGGGGTGAAATGTTAATAACGCAGATTAAACTTAAAGTGTGTGTGCATATATTCCCCCAGAAAGCCTGGAAACATTTTCTGTTGTTAAACATTTACCCATATACCCCTGTATTGGTCTATAAACATTGCTTGAGCTCACCAGGAAGGAGTTAAGTAGATTTCTTTCTTAAGGACCAACACCTTAAACCCTTTGGCTTTCATTGATTGGTCAACAATGGCTAAAAGTGAATGTAATTAGCAAATGTTGCTGTTTTGGCCAGAAATTCTGAGTCTTTCCCCTCCAGATTGATTGTTTTTTACCTAGGTAAAAGAGGCCATTCTTTGCCTCATTTCTTACCTAGCTTTAATTATTGAATGGGTGTTGCCTCAGTCAAATTGAGACCTGAGAAAGACCTTAACTTAAATAGGCCAGGGTCTCCCATTGTTTCCAAGGCCACCTCCAGTTGTCCTGATCTATATCTTGCCACTAGACCCAGATGGCTCCAGAAGAAAAAGTAAGGCTGGTAACTTTGCACAGCTCTGCCTCACTTAAATCCAATTCACTTGCAAGTCATGGCATCATCCCCTGATGTCATGGTCCTCTTTGAGAATGAAGGACAAACAACAACAACAATCTTTGTTCCAGGCCATCGTCCACTCAGTTGCCAAAGTAATCTTTCTAAGCTCACCATTCAATAAAGTCAGGTGCTTACTATCACCTTCAGAATCAAATCTAAATCCTCTGTTTGCCATTTTAAGTCCTTCATAACCTTTCATGTGTACTTCCTATCTTTCTAGTCTTTTTTACACCTTGTACCCCTCCCCAAATACTCTGTAGCTCAGTGACATTGGCCTTCTGGCTATTCTTTGCACAAGACACTCCATTCCCTAACTCTGAACATTTTAGCTGACTCTTCCCTCTTACTGGAATTCTCTCCTGCCTCATCACAACCTCCTGATTCCCTGGCTTCCTTCAAATCCCAGCTAAAATTCTACCTTCCATTGGAAGTCTTTCCTAAGCTCCCCTCAATTTTTAATGCCTTTCCTATGTTGATTATTTCAAATTTGTTCTGTATATAGCTTGTGTATGGATAGAGATAGATAATGTATATGTGTGTATTTATGTCCTATATGTACAAATGTATTTGTTGTATACATGTTGTCTGTCCCATTAGACTGTAAACCCCTTGAGAACAGGGCCTATCTTTTACCTATTTTTGTATCTCCATTGCTTAGCACAGTGCCTGGCGAAGAGTAGGTGCTTATTTATTGACTGACTGACTGACTGACTACATATTTATGTAACAAAAAGCTTGATATAGCTGCTTGCTGTTTTCAGGCAGAGGTTTCTTAGGGTCTCCTCCTCAACCACTTGGGAGTGTTACCTCTTAACTTTGTAGCTATAGGGGCCTTGTTGCTGGGAACCCCTAAATGTAAGAGTCTGCTTGGAAAGAATTCAACCCCTCAAGCCTTCTTTCAGTCAAAGTAGGGAGGTTTATTGTAACACAAATAGGAATAAGCTAGATTTCTGAGTGAATCTGAAGCTTGATAAGGATGAGACTAGTCCTTATATACAAGAAAAGGGGAAAAGTGTCAGTGAAAAGATCTTGATGGAATTAAGGAGTATCAAGTAAGCTAATTAAGTAATCAAGGTGGGCTGTGGTGGGCCAGATGCCTTGAAGGAGGCACCAGTGATCTAGGCTAATGAAATATATGGGAAAATTCAGGGACTGGGTTGCTTTCAAAGACATGGTCTTTTTCCTTTTAAGAGTCCACGTCCCATCATTCCATAAGCCTGACTTTGACAAATTAGATCCTTCCATTCTAAGGCACTGTAGGGGGAAGAGGAAAAAGTCCAGGACTTCAGAGGGTCAGTGGCAGAAATACTGTAGAGAGCCTGGACAGGGGAAGCCATAGAGGGAAGTCCCTGTTAGTTATTGCCAGATTCTAGGACTAAGACTCTGTGGGTGTATTGTATACTGGATACACTGGATTAGGGCTAACCTTTTTCTTCAGATAAATTCTCTTTGGCTTACGGGTGGAGCCTGGGGCGTTTCATATCTTCCCCCTCAGGTTCCCTCTTCTCCTTTTTCCCTTGCTTTCTAGAGATGTGAGACTATGTCTTTAAGGCATGATGCCTCTTTTTGGAAAGAGATACTCCCTCTGAGTCTCAAAAGTGCTTCAGATAAATTCTCTTTGGCTTACAGGTGGAGCCTGGGGAGTTTCATGTCTTCCCCTTCAGGTTCCCTCTTCCCCTTTTTCCCTTGCTTTATAGAGATGTGAGACTATGTCTTTGAGTCGTGATGCCTCTCCTTGGAAAGAGAAACTTCCTGAGTCTCAAAAGTTTGTTTACTTTCCTGTGTTTAAATGTTTAGTTTTTCTCCCCCAAGAAGCAATTGTGCTAAATGTTGCCACATATGTATGTTACTATTATTGCTCAAATTTAGCAGCAATCCAGATAGAGAAAAATAGATGTAAAACAATAATATTTTGCCATATTGAGGTCTCTGGGTAGGGGTTCATGGTTCTAGGCCATAAGTCACAGAGTAGTGACTGCTGTGATTAGCTAGATAGTAATAGAGGCAGGACCTCTGCTATCTTGCCTGGGCTAAATTGAGAGGAAAGTCACTCTTTGAGGAGAGGAGCTAAGGGAGTGGCTTAGGAAAGTTATTGTAAAAGGAGGCATAACACAGCCCACAAAAAGGTAGGGAGAAATGAATACAAGTGATTGATAGCTCTGCCTGCCTGCTACCAGCATAACCATCACATCAATACCATTGATAAACTTAGATGATTTTTCTTGAAATGATTAAATACTCATGGAGGGCAAAGACTGCTACATTTTTGTATTTGTATCCCTAGCAGTATAGCATGGTGGCTTGACATATCAGTCTCAATCAATGTTTGTTGATTGATTGACTTAATAACTGAAACTCAAATCTAATGATATTCTCAACAGGAGGAAAATGGAATGCAAGAAACTCTTTTCATCCAAAACAACACCTTTCTGGAGAACAGAATTGTCCTACTTGAAAACCATGGACTCTACCTGTCATCGGTTGAAATCTTTGATGACGATAGAAAGTTTTCCTGCCATGTTACAATCCAGTCTGGCAAAATCCTGAAGAATGTCACCAGAATTAAAGTTTTTGGTAAGAACTTTCTGGTTCTCCTTTCAACCTCACTGGCATTTTCAGGTGGATCTCCTGTGTTTAACTTTGCCTTGCATTGTAGAGGGCAAGATTTGGTTCTGAGTAGTCCAATCAAAAACTGTTTTGTCTCTCATATTCTCTCTTTTGGATCAGGAAGTTAACAACAACAACAACAACAAAAAACTCAGTTAACAAAATAGAATAAAATAAAAAGCTGCAGAGTTTACTTGTTATCTGGTGACCAATGGCTCATTTGTAACTCTGCTTTTTTTTTCCCAGTAGTACTGGAAATCACTTTTATTGTAATTGCTAAAAACCTAATCATATGGCATTGCTTGCCAGAGCACCATGGCATAGCAGGTAGAAAGATATCATTGCTTTAACTCCCCTATCCCCAGTCCCAAGTAGCCCTTGCAAGACCAATTCCAGATATGCTGGAATGAATAAATATCCAAGCTCTTCCAAAAAAGTGACCTGTCAAGGTTTTCATTTTATCATCTCTTGAGTCTTAGGAATATGTAATTCAGCTCTAACCATTCACTGTGGTCTGACTTACAATGCAAAGATTTAGCAAGGAACAATTTCAGAAGGCAATGAGAAAATTCTGTTGGACTATGTTACCCAGTGAGGCAAGGAAAAATTAAATAAACAGAAGTCCTTAGTTTTGATTTCTTTACATGCCTATGTTAACAAGGAATTGAATTTTAAAATGTGAATGTTGGGAGAGAAAGAATGGAGAGAAAAGTAAAGCAGTAATATGAAATATCAATTATTCTAAAATATTAGGAAAGAAATTAAAATCTGCTTCTACAATTGCAAATATTGTTAGAGAGCTGTTGCTTTCTTTAGGCCCTATGTGTGAAGGAGCTGGCCAAAAACCCCTTACCTTTATTTAGAATCTTATTCACTTCTTGTTATATATTCCCAAGATGGTGTGGTGGATAGAGTATTGGGCCTGGAGTTAGGAAGACTCTTGAGTTCAAAATCAGGCCTCAGATGCTTACTAGCTATGTAACCATGGGCAAGTCACTTAACCCTGTTTGCCTCAGTTTCCTCATCTGTAAAATGAGCTGGAGAAGGAAATGGCAAACCACTCCAGTATCTTTGTCAAGAAAACTGCAAATGGGGTCACAAGGAGTCAAACACAACTGAAATGACTAAACAACAGAGAAGGAAAAACAATCATAAGTCTAGAAGGGTGAGGAGAGAAAGTTATAGTTATGTCTCAAATTGTTTTACCCTTGTTCAGAGCAGTAACTAGGGTGTGAAAGCTGGGTCTTTGTCCCAGGCAAGAAATGTATAAAGTGTTGACCTCATCCTACTTGTCCTGTCCCTGATGTCAGTGGTTCTGGTTTTGTCCCATCATCTGTTCCTGTTAACAGTGTCATCTGCCCTTCCCTTTGAATGCTGCACTTTTAACAACGTGAAAACTTTAGACTGTTCCAGGATATGTTTTCTTTCTCTGAATAACCTTCATCCCACCACTTGCCTTAGATAAAAAAATGTGCATGCATGTGCATGTGCACACACACACACACACACACACACACACACACACACTTTTTTTCTTCCTCACATTATCTCAAATCATTGGTCTAAGAATAGTAGTATGTGTCAGGTCTCTGAGGAGCTAGAAGGTGTTTGGTTTTTTTTTTTAAACAAAAAAAATATTCAGGATTGCCATCTTTTCAAAATTATTGATTTATTAATTCAACAATCTATCAGTTTCCTGAAATGAAGTTTTGCCCTAATACAATGTTCTCTGCATTTTTGCAGATAGCCGAAGCAACCATCCAGAATATGGATAAAATCTAAATTCTTGATTTTGGAAGCATAATCTTCATTAGCTGAAGTTCCTCTGGCTATGGCTCAAAGTAGTAATACTTCTGACATTTAAATCTCCTATTTTTGTTTTTTTTGTTTTGTTTTGTTAAGATGCCTTTATATCATTGCTGATGTTTTCCACCAGTTTTACAATGTTTTATCTCTCTACTTTTATTGTTTGTCTCCACAGCATTCTCATTCTTTTTATAAAATATTATATCAGGCCAATCTATGCCTGACATTTTAATTTGTAGTTATGGCTGGCTTTACCCATTTCCATATAGGCAAGCCAAATTATGATCAGGCAAGGATTCCCATCTGGTTCCATCACATATCCATCCATGCATGTAAATTCTCTGAACCCACTTTGACAAGTCAAATTGCCTGTGAAAATTCTCTGGTGAATGTGGGTGAGTGACAAGATTATAAGGGGAGAGAACAGTATAAGGACTTTCCTGGGTATGTATATCTGTGTGGATTTAGTTAAATAGTAAAATAACATTGCACAGTGATAACAGGGGTACTTTGGTGAAAACCTAATCCATATACTGTGGTTCATTAAAGAGAGTGCTAGATTTGGCGTTGCCACTACCCTAATGAGGGCACTCTATCATCTCACGACTAGATTGTTCTAATAGGTTGCTGGGGGTCTGCTTACCTCAAGCCTCTCCCCACTTCAATCCATCCTCCATTCAGCCACTGAAATGATTTTCCTAAAAGACAAGTCTGATCATGTCACACATAACTGCTACCCCACCCTACCTCACCCCATTCAATAATCACCATTGGTTTCCTATTGCCTCCAGGAACAAATAAAAATGCTCTATTTGGCATTTGAAGTGCTACATAGCCTAGCCCCCATCTACCTTTCCAGTCTTCTTACATCTTACTCTCACAGGTAATCTAGAGACATTGGCCTCTTGGCTGTTTTGTGAACAAGATACTCTGTCTCTTGGCTCCAGGCATTTTCTGTGACTGTCCCCTATGCCTGAAATGCTCTCTCTCTCCTCTGCTTCAACTACTGACTTCCTTGGTTTCCTTTTAAGTTCTAACTAAAACTCCACCTTCTATAGGAAGCCTTCCCCAACACTTTCTAATTTTAGTACCTTCCCTCTGTTAATTATTTCCTATTTATCCTGTATAGAGCTTGCTTTATATATATTTGTTTGCATATTGTCTCCTCCATTAGACTGTAACCTCCTTGAGGGCAGAGACTGTCTTTTACCTCTTTTTATATTCCCAGCACTTGCAAAGTACCTGACATATTTTGTTGTCAGTCATTCTGTCATATCCAACGTTTCATGACCAGTAGACCACATCATACCAATACTGTCCATGGGGTTTTCTTGGAAAGATACTGGAATGCTTTTCCATTTCCTTCTCCAGCTCATTTTACAGATGAAGAAACTGAGTCAAACAGAGTTAAATGACTTTCCTGGAGTCACATGCCTAGTGTATGAGGTCAGATTTGAACTCAGGTTTCCTTAATCCAGGCCCAGCACTGTAACCACTGAGCCATTTAGCTGCTTATTGATTGGTTGACTATTGATCTATTTGGATACAAAGGTTCTAGGTTCATTTTTTTTTTGTCTCTGTCATTCATTAATCCTAAGACTTTGGGCAAATTGTTTCACTTCAGCTCCCTCCTCTGTAAGGCATTTAGACTAAAGGAATTCTGAACTTCCTCTAGTTCTTTTTTTTTCATATTAAAAATATTTCCTCATTAGTCATGTTGTGAAAGAAGGATTAGAACAAAAGGGAAAAACTACGAGAAAGAAAAAAAAAAGTAAAAATAGTGTGCTTTCATCTGCATTCAGACTCCATAATTCTTTTTCTGGATGTGGATAAGCATTTTCTATCTTGAGTCTTTTGGAGTTGTCTTAGATCATAGCATTGCTGAGAAGAACTAAGTTTATCAAAGTTCGTTATCACACAATGTTGCTGTTACTGTGTACAATGTTTTCCTGGATCTGCTCACTTCACTCAGCATCATTTCATGTAAGTCTTTCCAGGTTTTTCTGAAATCTGCTTGCTCATCATTTCTTATAGAACAATAGTATTCTATTCCATTACTACTTGTTCAGCCATTCCCCAATTGATGGGCATCCCCTCAATTCCCAATTCTTTGCCACCACAAAAGAGCTGCTATAAATATTTTTGTACATATGGGTCCTTTTCCTTTTTTTTTATAATTTCTTTGGGATACAGACCACTAACAGAATCAAAGGACTGATCAAAGGATTGCTGGATGAAAGATATTCACAGTTTTATAGCTCTTTGGACATAGTTCCAGTTGCTCTCCAGAATGTTTGGATCAATTCACAACTCCACCAACAATGCATTAGTGCTCCAATTTTCCCACATCTTCTCCAACATTTATCATTTTCTTTTTCTGTCATATTACCCAATCTGATAGGTGTGAGGCAGTACATCAGAGTTGTTTTACTTTGCTTTTCTCTAATCAATAGTGATTTAGAGCATTTTTAAAATATGACTATAGATAGTTTTAATTTCTTCAACTGAAAACTGCCTGTTCATATCCTTTGGCCATTTATCAATTGGGAAATGACTTGTATTCTTATAAATTTGACTCAGTTCTCTATGTATTTTAGAAATGAGGCCTTTATCAGAGACACTGGCTGTAAAAATTGTTTCCCAGTTTTCTGCTTCCCTTCTAATCTTGGTTGCATTGGTTTTTTTCTGTGCTTTCCTCCAGTTCTTAATACACTAAACTTAATCCTTTAGTGATCCACTAAAGATTAGGGGGGTAGTTCAATTCTCTCCAATTGTACTGACCTGGAAGAGATCTTGATTCCTTGTACAGAGTGACCTAATTCATTAAAATAAATATGAAAACTCTTTAACTACCCACTCTTACCATTTCTAAAACTCTGGTTTTAGAAGTAACCTCTGATACTCTCCCTTAGCTTGTCTCTTACCACGCTTTGGCTGGTTTCAGGCTCCTGAGATTGTGGTCTCTAGCTTACAAGTGAGAGACAAAAAGGCCCATCAGTCCTCTTGCAATACTTTCTTTGACATCACTGTACCCTTTGTCTCTTGATTCAAGAGTCTCTAGCCTCTCAGACTTTTGAAGGGAGTAGCTGTCTATCACAGGTTCAGATGTTGAGCTCAAAATGAAGTCAACCTTAGCTCAAGGACAGTCTGCCTCATTGATA